TTATTATTTAAAAAAATTTTTTTTTTTTAATAATGTATAGTTGTTATTTTAAACTAAAGTGTAATAAAATATATACAATTAAAATAACAAATAAATTAACAAGGGAATTATTTCCAAACATTTACTTGAGTTTTTAAATACATTTTATATATTATTTTTATTTCATTTATTGTTTTCTTTTTAAATATCTTATATTTCATATCAAGATATTAGTGCAACCTATTCATACATACTATAGTAATGAAAGATATAATGCCAAGGTCTTTCATTATTTTGACTGCATTTTATATGCGAGATTTGTTATATAGGGTAAACACTTTTGGTATGATTCCACTTTTAATAAGTACCGTTCGTTACTTAGAGGTTTCTTTGGATCAATTATTTGATAAACTAAGAGTTTACTGTATATCATATGTATTTATAAAAACTATATTAAGATTATTTTCTTCAAAAAAAAAAACTTTTTCTTTAAGTATACAAATCGGTAGTCTTTTCAATGTAAAATTTTCCACAGAACAGATGTTCTAAGAAACTCACTTCATTATATTCAGTGTATAAGCAATAAACAGCATATTTAAAATGAAACTACACAACAAAGATCTATAAAGAAAATAAAACAAAGAGAAAGAAGTCAAAATTGAAATAAATAAAGTAAAATTTCAAAAATATATTTGCTTTCAACTGTTGCGCTGTAATTGCATAGAATCTGACGTCTCTGACCCAAAATCACCTGCAATCATTCAAAAATATTGCATACCGTAAACTGAATGAAATTGCTTTTAAACGATCGCAAACGTAGCTTGTGCACATCCAAGCGACTATAGTTGGCCACCAAAGTGGAGACGCATTCTTTTACTCCAAAAAGGCAGGCACTATCGTAATGAAATATAGACATGTGTTTCACATACACGATTTTTGATAGGGCGCAGTGCGTACGTGCAGTGGGAAAACAAGTGTAAATTTGTGCTATTTTCGATTTTCAAAACAAAACAAATATGAAACGTTATAAAGACTTTTAAATATTTGAATCATTTTTCGGTTTTAGTTCAGTTGTAAAACATATCCAACGTTTTCCAAGATAAACAAACACAAAAAATTGTGACGGTTCAACGCTTCGTTGATGCGTTTCTAAAGGGGTAGGAATCGCTCACCGAGTTTGAAGTTTGATGCATATTGACATGCAAAACTTAAGCAAAGTAAAAATATTATTTCTATTTCGACGTGAACGTTAAATGCATATTATGCAGATACGCTTTCTATTTGTTTTAGATCTGGAAGACATTTCATCAAAGATTTCAGTAATCATATGCAAAGCATTATGCCAGTAAAATAATAGCAAAAATCAAACTGGACATATATGGCAACACCAATAAACATTGTGTGGTTCTGTACGTTCAGTCAGTTCACTTACATTTAAATTGGCACGCGCCTTGGGCAATTCTTCATGTGTCGTTGGTAGCCATTTAAATTCAATCATTTGTTGAGGCTTCCGTGCTATTAACACGTTTCAAATTATTAACAAAAATTATCTACAGTAAAAATAATGCAAATTCAAAAAGAAAAAACTAAACAATAAGAAGAGTAAGTTTTTGTTATGCTTGTCGTTCTTCTATTGGGACATTTGAATATGCTTTGTGTCAATATGGCGTTTGGTGGCAGCCATATTCAACAAAGATGGCCACACAAAACTGTTATTTGAAGCGGAAGTATACATAATGTGTGGAAAAATATATAATATGCATTATTACAGCTGGGTTTTCCGTACACAAACTAATTGTCAATAATTGATGTCGCATTAAAGTTTCTAACAGGAAAACAAATATAAATGATAGCAGGTCGTCAAAGTATGGAAAATGTGGCAAGCGTCTTTTTAGAGTACAAATAAGAAAGTACTGCAACGGTATGGTTAGGAAGTAGATTTGTAATGGAAATGTAATAAAATAATAATTCATTTTCATCTATGACAAATGTACATAAAAATGAAAAAAAAATAATAATAATTTGGACTCAGTAGTTGAATATTACATACTCTTCGCACAGACTTATTGGGCAATCACTAATAAAGGATTTCGATAAAATCTACATATTTATAACATAGCTTTAATAACATGTATTTATAAGTAAACAGCTATTATTAAAAACAGCTATTATCTTGGGGTTTTGAAACCTTTGCTCAATACCGCTTCTCCAATATATACTTAAAGTTTGTATCCAAAAGTCTTCATACTAAAAGTGTATAATAGAGATACGAATTTGAAACAAACGTCAAGATAAATAGATAGGTGGATATAGCTTAGCGGCTATATATAGATTTAATTAAAGAGGGAGATAGGGTTTGTTTAAAATTAAAGACAGTATTAATGAACTACGATAATTTTTTCATAGTGATAAATTATTTAATTATTTTATCTTTTCTACTCTGCGAAGAGTATGAGAAGTCCAAATATGTTAATTATAATTATATGCCAAAAAATTTTTTTTGGAAATTTAAAGATAAGAGTATGGTTTAGACTTAAATTACTGAAAGTTAGATAATCAACAAAATAGGTTAAAAAATTTTCACCTATTAAGAAAAAAATATATGAATTAAAAAATTATTATAGTTAAATTTAACAATATTTACAATAATTCTTATGTAGTTAGGGACAAACGAAAAGAAAAACTATTTATAACAAAGCTGTTAAGGCGATAGTTTAGCCTTTTACTATATACTATAATGATATAATGAGCACTGAAATGAGTGAAGAAAATGACAGTCTGAGATTTTCTAGTGATGCCGAAAAAGAGAATAATATAATAATGAGTTTTTTTGACCAGTACGTTGTGTTTTTTTAAATTATAGCCATAAGACCAGACTAACCTTACCAAAAAAGATGATATATATATATATACATCTTTTACATAGATGTGATCAGAAATTTGATCTTTTATCTAATAAAGATGACATTCTCGTATATCAAACAGATGAACTGCATGAGAGAGTAGCATTAAACTATTTTATCGAACAAACATATACATATATAAATACTGTAAAAAATCGTGTCAGACTGAAAAAGTAATTTATACATAATAAACTGATTGGTGAAGTCATAGTAAGGAGTATATAATTCAAAAGCGGTCAAAGATTGGATAAAGGGGCGTAAATTGAAGAAATTAAGTGATATAGTATCTATCATATTATGAGCAATCGTTTAGATATATACAAAGTTTGATAGTACTGGCATTGGAAAAATAAATATAATAACTGTATGAAGAGAAAAGTAATTTATTTTACTTGATTAAAATGAAAGAGAGAAAATATTTCAAAATATTTTTTGAACTGCCAAAAAATTCTATATAAGACATTTGAATCATTATTTTTAAATATTATAATTTCATTGTTGTAAGATAAGAAATTACATTACTAAATAAAAATATTGAACAAATTTATTAATTCGAAAAAAGCATTTGGTACCAGTATTTCTAATTGTAGGCTCATTAATGAATAAGAAATTCGGTACATCGGTATATTTTTATATACAAAACTAGGGTCAGATATATTTAAAGAAAATATCACATTAAGAGGTTTTTAGAACAGTATTTATTATTTAATTAATTAAATTTTTGGCTGATCATACAGCTGTTTCAAGTATTGTCGAAACTGCAAGTGCCAGAAATCGAATTCATGTCCTGTCAAATTTGAAGCTCAGAGTCAGCGCACCTTAACCAACTGACGCAAAGTCGTACTTGACTTGTATGTTCGGGCGAGATCAATATTTTGTGAATATAAGTTGTAATTTAATTTAGAAAATATTAGTAGTAACTTAGAATTTATTGAAAATTTGAAGACTCAGTTAGTGTCTTCAGTATAACAACTAAGTCTAGTCTTGTAAATAGGTTATAATAAATAAATTGTTTCCTTTTTTTGCTGAATTACTTAATCTTTTTTGTTAAAAATATTATATTATTGTTATATTTGTATGTTTTTTATCTTTATATTGTCTTTTGTTTATTTAATATGTAAGTTGTTAATAACAAATTTATGGCGCCAGTTTTTCAATGTTAATACTATAAAATCAATCACATAATAATAATAATCAATGATATTTAAATTGCTTTCATACTTCATAAATATTGTTATTATTATTATTACTACTGCAATTATTTTCATAACTTGAAAATTATAGTTGAATATTCGTAGAGAGAAAATAATAATATTTCAAATTGAACGACCTCAACTGCTTCCTTTATTTCAAAAAACCCCTGTGTAGACACTTTAACAGGCCAACATAAAGACTAATCAACAATTCAATGGCAACATTAAATGTCATTAATCATTTCCAATGTTGTCAATGTCAAATTAACCACAAGTGTCACTTGCGATAGTTTATATACTACACAGACTATTATGTATGAAACTTCACAGCAGCCATTAGCTGTGGGTATTGGGTCCTGCCTGGCCTATCCTCCATGTAAAATACTGCTTGCGTAGTATTGATTTTATTTATTGCAAGTATTCCGTTTAAATACTCGTAAATATCAATACATATTTAAATAAAAGTATCTGTTTTGGCGCCCGCAGTGACGCTAGACACTATTAACAGAATGCGTTCGATGCATTTCAATTGGATTTGTTGAAATTATTTACACATTATTTGAAATTCATAATAGAATGGGTGCACATTTTATCGTAAATTGCCATAAAATAATTGCATTGCTTCAGCTGTAATTTGCCAGCCAAATGGCTATCAAATTGACGGGATCGCCTGATAGAAATCGAAAGTGGAACAATAAAAACACAATTTATGTATAAATTGGAATGTGGTCTGGAATTTTTTATATAAATTTATGTATACATATATATCAATAATTATATGAATTTAATTTATTTTTATAGTTTATGTGATGTATTTTCATAATTGTATTGTATATTTGTTTACAATTTCACGTATTCTTTTTTTTATATATTTTATTTAAATATTTTTAAATCAACACAATATAAATAGTCTTTAGGAACTTACCCCTTCTCCTATGTAAGCCACGATATTTATTTGGTGATATTACTGGTGGCCTTGGAGCCATCATATTTGGCACTTCATCCGGTGTTGTAAGCGCAGCATTTTTGTGTTGCAAATGGCGTTCACTATTTTGCCGCCAATTGCCAAACGAGTGACGACGTATGCCACTGCTTGGTAATGTATGATGATGATGTTTGCTAAATAAGAAGTCAAAGAGTTACCATAAGAAAAAGAAACAAACAAATTGTACAAATACGCTTAATGACATGCTCTATTAGCAAATTAATAAAATATGTCAACAGCTGCATTCATCATAATCATATTTATCATTATCCATCGCAAGTAGCTGCAAACTGCAATAGCAGCTACTTTAAATCTATTTCTAGTAATACTCACCTTGCTGGCGATACATTAAAGATGCCATCGTTTTCCGTACATGCGGAGGATTCATTATATGAACCCAAACGTTCGCGAAATGATTCTGAATGTGAGTTCGATGAACGTTGACGTGGATGCACCAATGGTTGCAATTCAAATGTTTGCTTTAGAGTTTTAAGAAAAATAAAAAATATAAGATAAAAATTGCAACGAATATCAAAGAGTTAAGTATTCATAGTAAAGTAGAGAAAAAAGCGAAAAAAGTTATAAAAATATACGAAAGGAAGTTGTTGATTTTAAGATTAATCGGAATTTTATAATTTTGAAATGCTGATGTTGTGATTTATTACTTCAATAACAACGGATACTTACATGACTGAAAGCGCTTAATGAACCAAAACTACCGCGCGGGCTACCTAATGCAATTGTTGCAGCAGAATCAAGATTAGCTGATGTTATTAGACGCAATTGCTCTGGCAGCACAACTCTTGGACTGTTTCCCTTTGAATTACGTCTTTTAAATATGGAAAATCCTTTACTAGAGCTCTGTGAGTCTGGAGTACGCGGCGATTTGTTGTCATTGTAAAAATAATATGGATTATCTGTAAAGAAGAATGAAATAGATTTAGTAAAAACAATACAGTGATAATTAAAAAAACATATGACTTCATGTTTAAAGTAAATAATTGATAAGTAATTTTTATCAAACATAAGAAAGTAATAGAGTTCAATATTTTTGCACTATGAGTATAGTACCTTCTTAATATAACAGTTGGACTTATATTTTGGTATTTATAGCTTTTATAGCACAAATAATAGTAAATAAATAAATTTAATTAAAATAATCGATATATACGTATTCACTTCATATATTATATTATATATTTATTTATATATGTAAGTTTACTATAACATCTGTACATTGCGTAGTAATTTCTGTTGCAGAAAACGTAGTTTTATATATTAAGAAACAAAAAATAATATGAACGAGATAATATCTGCAATAATCATAATTATCAAAATAATGTCAATAGATATGTAGTAGACATTAGTAATAACCCGTTTCGGCCCTTTTTTGTTCACTTAACACCAAAAAAGTAGACCCATTCTTATACTACAATTTTGAGTTAGCTGTAACAAGAAACTTTAGGTATAAATATTTTAGTTAAGAAAATAATGTATTGGTTCTATAAAAAACACAATGTCTTTAATGCCTTCACTTGTCATATTGAACAGTTGTTCTTAGTATGGCTGACTGTACTGATATGGACTCTTTAAAGGTAAATTATTAAGGTCCATCATAAAGGAAATTTAGATTTTCTTGTAGTTATATTTTAATACCAAAATTACGAAATAATGGTAATTATATAGTTTCTACTGTAAAAGCTTTTTACCCAAAATTAGAATGTTTTTTAGATTTAGCCTTTTATGATTATTTCTTGTTGCCGAACCTGAAAAATGGTTAAGTGGTAGTTCGAAATATGGATGAAGTGAAGGGTCAATGAAACACAGGTCTATTTTGAGGACGTTGACAAAAACTATTAGAGATAAAAAAATATGGGAAAACGCTGGACTTAATATGTCAAGATGTATATGATGAAAACATTTTTTGATTTACAAAAAAGATTTAATACTGTAATACATAAAAAATATTTTTAATAATTTTTAGCTTCAGTCGACTTTAACTGTTTATGAAAGTTGAAATCACGCAATATAATATTATCCGTTGCAAATTAAGTCTGAATTATGCGCTAGTCGAGTGGGTACTCTGCGCTATATATTCAATAGTAAGTAGTAAAAAGTTGGCTTGAGATCTTTACAAGAATAATTCTAACAGCGAATTGACGAAGCTAATGCTGTCGATTAGGAAGATCTTGGTCACTGTTTTATATGTCCTAATCACTAAAAATCTCTCAATTTATAGTTTTCAGAAAAGTTTTGTTTTAGATAGTGCGCTAGTTTACACTTTAACATTTGGCTTACCTAAAATTGTGTTTTGAATTCTTTTTCAGACTCTGTTTGTTTTTTAAATTATTATCCTTTTTTTTTATTAAATCTTGGATCTTTTATATTTAAATAATTAAATTAGTAAGTAATCTATTGTAAGATAAAACATTTAAAAAAAATATTTTTATATAGTAGAACTTGTAAAATATACTGAAGATTTGTACTTGGATACTGAAAATCAAACTTCAGAAACCTTTTAGATCTAGTGTTATCGGCGTATGTTAAAAGTATGCTGGTCAGAGGAAATAATATATGTAGTGTTTCTGCGAGGGCTCAGCAAAAACAGAGACCCGCTATAGACAATAAAATGTTCTAAGACAAAATATTTTAGACATACATTGAATCCATAATGTCAAGTATGAGTCGTTTAAACTAATAGTGCTACGAAATATTCAAGATTGCACCTCTGTCCGAACGACTGGACGAATAACTTGTGAAAAAGAGTAGTATCCCTATATATAGGGATACTACTATCCCTATATATTGTAAAAAAAAGTAATTATCTGTATAATTTATATTATTTTGCAAATTAATTTACATATATATGGTCGCTTATATTATATTATAATAATAGATATATAAATGAAAAAGGATATATTATTTCATTTAAATAATATATTTTTTAATGCTATGAATTAAAAAACATTTAAATTAATTTAATAAAATATATACATTCTATTCTTGCGGCCCTATTCTCCTCATAGGAGATAAAATTTATAAATTTATTAAAATTTGTAATTTATTTACTTCATTTATTATCAGTTAATTATGTTTATTGACTTTAATGAAATATATTTTGAATACAATATATGTATTAAGAATATAAATTTTCTTAATATAAATATTTAATTTTCAGTAGAAATTTTTCCTTCGATGCCTTGAGAAGCAGCAATTTGAAACTTCAAACTTTCTGTATTATTTACCTGAGAAGAAGGTGTTTGTGTTATCCACGGCAACAAACATTTTGATGTAAGGTATCCCAAGTCGTTAGAATCTGATAACTTTGTATGTTGTTCTGGCTTCGGAAAATATCGCTCCTTTATATTTTCACTCTGCACTTCAGCATTGTGGCATTGTTCCGCACTTACAATGTTTACACTAAAAAAGCTCGATGGTTTTGTTGTTTACAGAAACTTCACTGTTAAGATTTTTGTTTCAAAACAAAACTTTTTAGTTTTCTTTAGAGGCAACTTTTTCAAATCTTTTATTATAATTTTTTTTCAAATATTGTTTTGTATTTAAAACAATTATATTTTTGATATTTTAAAATGTTTTTAGTCAATATTTAAAGTTTTTTAATTGCAATAAAAATAAATTTCGCGATTGTTTTTGAATTGTTGTTTTTTTAATTGTATGCAATTATTAATATTATAACTTCATTATTTTTTTATGTGAACTATATATATTTTTCATAAACTATTTTTGTTGTTTATATGTTTTTTTAAAAAGTCATTTAAAAAAAATTTTTTTCTGTTTATATGCCGTTAAGCGTGCTTCTGCATGGACTTCCCGAAACGGAATAAATTCTTTAAACTTCAACAAGAACGCAAACAACAACACCATCAATAACACTAAAAATGCTTCAATTGTAAGTCCCCCCGCGTGCGTTTCATATTTCCTAACGATCTTTTGCAGTTGTTGTTACGCGTACGCCAGTGCATAAATATTATTTTGTTCTTAAATGTTTGTTCTTCAGTTCCTCTTCTGCATAGTAGTATCTTGCCCACAATGCACAGATATATACATTTGTATATACGCTATACGCATAGGCAGCACATATTTATGCATGTATGACAGACAGCACGATGCTTTACTTCATTCGAGTACAACATAAGCATTATGTTGCCTGGCCTGCGATCATAGTCTCGCTCACTCTGGCACAAGCCTGGCACTCTGGCTCTTTTAGTGTTTAAATATGGTAACCATATTGCACCCACTCACTATGTTTTCTACTGTATATTCTGTGGTTGTGATTTTCATAGCAAAGGGAAAATCGTATTTGGCTTTGTGGCCAAAGGAAAAATATTTGTATTTTCCTTAATTTTTAAACGATTTGCAGGTATGAAATTCTGAGATTTTGCTGCGCTACAGAATTTATTTGGTATTTTAACTACATACATATATAATATAAATGTAACAGTAAACCATTTATAAACATTTTTTCAAATCTATCGTTTGTTTTGGTTTATTCTATATAGCTTCTATATATTTATTCTATTCTATTAGTATGAAGAAAAAAAAAGAAAAAAGCCTAACAATAAGTTTTAGAGTCATAAAGACTAATAACTTTACATTACAATTATTTCATTTAAAAATACTATAATGAAATATATAACGATTTGTGAATTATTTCAAGGGATTTCTGAATAAGTAGAGTGATCTGATTAATCAGAGTGATCTTTAGGAACGCAGGATGGCGGGTCTATCATTCCGTTTCAATCTAGAAGAATTTGTCATATTCACATGGTTTTCTAGATTTGAAATATGTTTCTGCCTTATTCTCTCGAACTCGAGTTTAACCATCGGAACTCTCAAATCAATATGTATATTATGAAGAATATCTTATAGAATTTGTTTGCAATGAGAAACAAGTAAATAGTTCCATGTAAACTTCCTGGATTGACAATAACTGTCCATGGATTTTAATCAATACACTGTGAGTCAACCATTGAAGTACTTTAATAATTTAGTTCGCTTAAAACTGAAAACTCTGTAATTAAAAAATCGGTTTTGCTCTTTCAGAATTTTAATTTTTATTTCGATCATAATTATATCTCATGAAAAATGCCGAAACTCTGTGAGATTCGAAATTAGTGCTTCTTGAATATTAGAAACAGCTTCTTTGTAATAAACCGGCCCGGTTCTAATAACGATAATAAAAACTGAATAAAAATTTTATGATAAACTGATATAGTGATTTCAGATGTATAACCACGTAACTGAATGATTTTATAGGCAAAAGATTTTTACAATAAAAAAAGACATTCTAGTACATACTACCAGGTTCACAGCGTATTAATTCATCAAAGCAATTGTATACGAAGTTATTTTAAACTAAACGAGTTTAAGGTACACTTGTAAATAAGATCTTAATAAAGTTTTTAATTCAATATATTGTTTAAACATTGCTACTGTGTGTAAAGTAAAATATCATTTAAATGTCTTTTACAGTAATTGGAGCTTTAGAGGTAATGTAGATGTTTGTTTGCAAAGAGTCGAGAGCTTAGGAATTGTTCGTATATGCACGATCTATTACTAAACTGCACACAAAAAGTTCACTGATAATAAATTGCATGATTTTTGTAGTCAACTTACATCACAACAATATAATAACTTGTCTACAAAATTTTTGACACTACTAAGCCAAAATAACTCGTACTGAGTACGAATATATCGCACCTCCAGACTTAATATCACTTATAGCCAGAGAGTGACTTTTGAGGATGCTTAATATTGTTTATTAAAGAGATTCGATATCATTTTGAATTAATATTTTTATGGTAACAATGTATATTTATAGTAAATCGTCATCTAAACATATAGTGCCTTACATAACAGTGAGGAAATATGACAGCGAACATTTTATGTTTTTAAAGAAGTGATATAAATTTATTTACTCCTTAATTACACACATTTTGATGTCAACTAGTTATGCCAAATTTAGCTCACAGTCAAAGTGACAGGTTATAGTTCTTCAAAAAATTTTTATTTTGCCGATTCGTTGGACTTGGCGGGTTGGTCTTATCAATGTTTTGATTATTATTTTGTTTTCGTATCAAACATTAGATATTTTCTCAAATGTTTTGATTAAAACATATTTGCATAATTTTTAGTGTACATTGCTTCGCATATTTTAATATGTAGATAATAATATTTTTGTGCAATCCTGACACGCAGGATTTAGATAGAATTTTTTTGTCAATATCTATCGATCGCTTCAGAATGTGAGAAAATTTTATTTTTACTTTTACTTTACCGGCAAACTTTGAAGTGCTGTTAAAAAGTCAACACCTGCTTTGTTTTTATAATAAATTGTGATAAAACAAGAAATAAAAAAACCGTATCGAAGCCTACAAACCACACGTGTAAATATATTCAGTATGTTTTTTGGAAATAACTATTTATCAAAATATAAATCTATTATTTATTTATTTCTATTTGAGCCAATGCACTTGAGTACTTTTATTCTTTTTCAACTCGATGTATTTTTAAAACCCCTCTTTTCGACTTGACTGGATAATTGTTTATCACTTCATCAGACTAAGCAATAACTGACCTCAGATCTGCATACCTCTCCGAGGAGCCTGTAACCATTTTAAGATTTGATAACCATAAATGAGTTAATATATGAAAATTGAACCTATGAGAGTATATCATATTACAAATTAGATTTTAAATGAATTTAATATTTTTTAAAAATATTGGATAATCGGCTTTTAAACGTTTCTTTATGGACGTAGTTCTCCAAGAGTTCAGTAATGACTAGTGTTAATCTACAGATTCCTTTTATGTTCTGCTTATGTCCATAATGTTCTGCTTATTTGTCAAGGTGTACGTTCTTTTATATAGTTGAAGTGATGTAAAAGCCAGTTCTGTAAAAGCTTCTCGCGTGGCAATTATTCTGCTTATTCGTTCATCAACTTTTTCATTTTGTTTAATATTGCGATATTCTAGAACCTAGATTTAAGAAATATTGTTCCGTTTACTTAAAGTGCTTAGGTTCTTTGTTTTTTTCTTTAGGTACTGTTTTCTTCCGCTATGTTAGAGGTTGTGATGGATGAATTCAGACCCTGACTTACAGTTTGTTACACGATAGAAGAACGATCTCATTTTTATGTGTTGCCTGAGATTATTTGTCTTCCCAATTGCGAATACTGCAGCGCAAAAAATGAGAGATGAGTTGGAAAGACATACAGACTTCTTAATTTTAGTTTCCCTAAGTTTCTGACGGCGCCGTGACTAAAGCTATAAAGACTTAAATTATGATTGGGTTATGACTTGCTTTTTCAGTTAGTTTATTCTTCAGATTTAGTCATCACTGATGAAATTGCGACCAATCCTATCTTCAAAACAGATTCCTCAATAAAACAAACTCTTATTACGGTTGTCTCACTAAATAGAGATTAAAAACACGAAATAGATTATTAATTAATATGCTCGTTTTTTTGGTGAAAAGATTGCTTCTTATTTAAGGATTAACAGACTTTTGCATAGTGACTGTATTTATTCTAAATCATAAATAAGCTGCCTAGTATTTAATGTCTAGTATGAAAGTCTTGTTTTATTATGAGTTAGACCACATACATTATAGCTGCACGACAAATTTTCTGTCTGTTTAAACTTTAGAAAATAAATTGAAGATTTTTAAGAATTAATATGACTGACCATCTGTAAACCACAAACATTTTTTATTTTTATTTATACTAATTGCCATCAAATAGAAGAAAACATAATTACAGTTAATTAAGATCTATTATACTTCTATAAGTAAAATTCCAAACATTGGTTAAAAAACATATTTCTTTCAATTAATTTCATTGTGAAGCAATTAGTTTTACTAGAAAATCAGTTTGCTGTTCGCTGAGGTTAACTACAAAATCAATGCGATTATTTACACCCTCAAACACTTCGCATGTGACTCAAAATGTAATTAGTGGATTCGTTCTAGTGTATATGGGCGATACATAAAATTGAAAAAAGGACACACTCGTACAAAAACATTTCACACAATAAATTGGCAATAATTTTTTTTAACAGAAATAGAAAATAGAAATATGGCATCGAACAAGGAGAAATGTATAATAGTTACACTGAATTTCAACAGGACTGCAATACTTTAAGAACTTAAATAGATTTTATAAATTCCATTGCAACAATTTATCGAAAATGCAAATAACATTTCGCTGAAAAGTGCGAACGAAATGTGAAAAATATTTCCACTCGATTTTCGCTTTTCTTGAGGTTGAGAGCATGCATGTGCTACATAACTGCATTGTCAAAACCAACTCATGTGGTGCTGTTGGAAATTAAAGTGGATGGGATGGCATGTAACAATGCAATGAGTCAAATGATGCATAATACAATCTATTTGGACTAATGCTTGCAGGTCAAAAAATAAAAAAAAATTATT